AGACACACACACAGTAAGTGATACAGATGGTCTTCAGCTCTTCAACAGTGAGGGTGTAGCCCAACAAGCCTATTGTAAGCTGAAAATCCCATGTCAACATTGATTCAGGCTTCATTAATTAGGTACATTTGACACACTAACCTCCCAACATGCCAACTGAGCCACAGTGCCTGGTACAGTGATGGTGGTTTCCCATGATGCTCTTGGTGCTGATGGGAAGAGGCGCCTCCCTGGGGTTACCCAGCCTTGTGAGAGGACGGGGACAGCATATTGCTAGCCTGGGAAAAGATAAAAATTCAGAATATGATTTCTACTGAATGCAGAGTGCTTTTGCATCATTATAAAGTTAAAAAATCAGAAGTGGAACCATCCTATGTCAGGAACCATCCAAAATAAATATGCTAATTAGTTCCATTTAGCCATTTCACAATGTATATACATATTTCACAACATCATGGAGAACACCATAAGTATGTACAATTTTAATTTGTCAATTAAGAAATTTAGAAAATAGGGCTGGGGTCGTGGCTCAGTGGTAGAGCGCTTGCCTAGCACGCGTGAGGCACTGGGTTCGATCCTCAGCACCACATAAAAATAAAATAAAGGTATTGGGTCCACCCACAACTAAAGAATAAATATTAGAAAATAAAGGATTGATTTTTTAAAAATTAGAAAATAACCAAGTGGGTATGAAGGCATTCCAATAAAAAAAAAAAAAAAGATGGGAACAGAGGCTGGGGTCTCATCTGAAGTCTTGACTGGGGAGGATCCACTTTCCAGGTCGGGAGGTGTTGGTGGATGAAGTTCCTCACTGGCTATTGGTCGGAGGCCCCTCCAGCTCCTCAGCTTGTGGGCAGCTCGCAGCCTGCAGCAGATTCCCTCAGAGGCAGAAAGAGAGAAAGCAAGACAGGAGCAGCCATCTTTTTTGCAACCTAATCTCAGAAGTGACATCCATCACTTTGGCCACATTCTGTGGTCTAGAGCAAGTCGCAGAGTTCAGCCACACTCAGAGGGTGGCACCAGGGTGCGGTGGTCTTGCAGGCTGCGCCCTTGCCCGTCAGTCTGATGGTGTCCTATCACCAGCACGTGTGACTGTTTGCCAAGGGTTCTGAAGAATCCTTCCCCCTGCTGGCACCTGTCAACCAATAAAGGCTGGGAGTGGAGGATGATCACCCTGCTCCCTCCGCCTTTCCTAAGATAATGTCGGGTTTTGTCCCAGAGGCGCCCAGAGGAGTTCCAGCCTGGAGATCCCAGCATCACCTCTCTGTCTGCACTGTTTCCCAGCTGCCCTCCCTTCCGCCCCTGGTCTCCTGTCTCCCCAAAGAGTGTTTCCTGTGGTCACCTCACAGGTAAACCCTTGTCCTCAGATCCAACTGTCTGGTATGGCTTGGATAGGCGGCACCCCCAAGAGCTCCCGTGGGAGACCACGAAAGGACGTTCACAGGTGGAATGATGAGATCACCAGCGCCGCAGCCTCACCACTGGATTAATCCACTTGAATGGATCAACTGGGCTGTGGCTGGAGGAAGCCAGTCACTGGAGGTGTGGCGTTGGGGTTTATATTCTACCCCTGGTGAGCAGAGTTCTCTGCTTCCTCAGGAGAGGAAGGTGAGCAGGAGCTGAGCAGGCTTCCAGTGCTATGCCCTGCCGCCATGATGTTCTGCCCCACCTTAGGCTCCAACCCTGGGGTCAGCTGACCACGGACCGAACCTCCGAAACCGTGAGCCACAATCAACTTTTCCTCCTCTACGTTGTTCTTGTCAGGTCTTTCGGTCACAGCGAGGCAAAGCTGACTTCAGTAGCGTCTCAGGATGCGCTTCCAGAAAACCCAACTGACCTCAGTTTCTAGAGTTGCCGCAATCAATGACCGTGATCTTGGGAATTCACCCCTCACAGATCTGGAGAGAAGGGGTCCAAAGTCAAGGTGTTGGCAGGGCTGGGCTCCCTTTGAAAGCTCAAGGGGGAGAACTCTCCCTTGTTTTCCTCGTAGCTCTCGGTATTTTACAGTCTTTGGTGTTCCTTGACTTGTACCTTCATCACGTGAATAAGGGGGAGGGGGCCATAAAGGTGGGAGGGAAAGTTCTGAAGTGCAAGATCCCAGCACCTGAGAAGCTGGGTGGGGCAAAAGCCTGACTGGAGAAAGACGGAGAGGACCAGAGAAGAGCCACTGGAACCAGCAAGAGCTCCTGGGACTTTTGCTGAGAGAGAGAGAACGTATGAGTTTCCTATAGCTGCTATAACAAATGACCACAGAGAGGAGGGTTTAAAAGCAAAGAACAGGGCTGGGGCTATGGCTCAGTGGTAGAGCACTCATCTTGCATGCGTGATGCACTGGGTCAGATCCTCAGCACCACATTAAAATAAAATAAAGGTTTGGTGTCTACCTACGGCTGTTCATATATAAACAGAACAGAAAACAAAACAAAAGAAAAATTGATTCTCTCACAGTTTTGGAGGCCAGAAGTCCTCCACTGGGCCATAGTGGAGTGTTACTCTGGAGGCTCTAGGGGGGGATGCTTCCTTCTTCTTGCTCCCCGTGCTCCTTGGCTTGTGGCTGCATCCCTCCAATTTCTGCCTCCATCTTCCATGGACTTGTGTGTATGTGTGTGTGTGTGTGTGTGAGAGAGAGAGAGAGAGAGAGAGAGAGAGAGAGAGAGAGAGAGACAGACTACAGATGGAACCTCAGGGCCCTGCATATGGTAGTGGGTGCTCTGCCACTGAGCTACATCCCAGCCCCTTTCTTACATTTGTTTTAAATTTATTTTTGAGACAGGCTCTTGCTCAGTTGCTCAGGGTGGCCTCAAATTTGTGGTCCTCCTGCCTCCGCCTCTTGAGCAGCTGGGATTACAAGTAGGTCCTGCTGTGCCCGGCTTCATGGGTCCTTTTCCCGTTCCTCTTTGTTTCCCTTCCTCTTTGCTCAAAAGGACACTTCTCAGTGCATCTAAGACACACCTCAATCCGGATGATCTCGTGTGGAGATTCTTAATCACACCTTTGAAGCCCTTTTTCTTTCCCCAGCAGGGCACAGTGGTACACCTCTGTAATGTCAGCAACTTGGGAGGCTGAGGCAGGAGGATGGCAAGTTCAAGGCTAGCCTCAGCAACTTAGCAAGGCCCTCTCTCAATATAAAAAAAGAGCTGAGAATGTGGCTCAGTGGTAAAGTGCCTCTCAGTTCACTCCCCAGTGAAAGACCCTAGCCCAGTCAGCCCAGTTACCTAAGGCCAAGATATGAAACCAAGATACCAGGCACGCCATAAACAGGTTCAGGCGCCAGGCATGCTTTCCGGACAACCGGTTGAAGAACAGAGCACCCACATCCTGAGGCATAAATGAATAAACCGGAACAGATAAGCAGGAACAGAAAGAATAGAATGCAGACCTGTGGTTTTTGGAATGCAGACCTGTACCCCCTAGGTGGCCTATATGCTAGATTTAAACAAACCAATAAGAAACCTGTTGCTTCCCGCGCGCGGAACCTGTCCCAAACCCTATAAAAATCTCTGTATCCCCAAGCCCGGTGTGCCAGTTCACCAAAGCTCCGGCTGAGGTTCTGCTGGGCACCCGCAGGCGCCTGTGTCCCAATAAACCAACCTCTTGCTTTTGCAGCCAGTGTTTCGTGTGATTCTCCTTGGACAGGGACACGGGGGTCTTTCATTGGACGGGGGTCTTTCACCAGTACCAACAGGAACAAACAGCCCCCGCCAAACAAAACAAAAACTTTTAAAAATAATGATAATAATAATAATAAGTCCTGTTCATTGGTTCTGGAGGTTAGGGTTAGGAACATGGACACATATCTTTGGAGAGAGAGCTACCGTTTAAATCATCACATGGAGGAAAGGGACAGGACAGGGGAACTGGCAGGTAGGGGGTGGCTTAAAAAACCAAACGCTGTGCTCTGAATATTCCCATTTCCCCCCAAATACCATTTCCCCAACCCCCAAGGTAGGGGCACTAAGAAGTGGGAGGTGAGGGCGAGAGACTTCATGGATGGGGTTGGCGCCCTTACACCCCTGCTCCTCCGTGGGGTTGGAGTGACAAACTCTCCATCTCTGTCTGCAGGAACAGGCTGGCACCTTGATGGTGACTTCCAGCCTCCAGGGCTGGGAACAATAACTGTTTGTTGTTAAGAAACCAGCCTGTCTCTGGCGTTGGCCGCCGCCTGGGCTAAGGCACCACTCGGCCTTGGGAGCTGCTGTTTCCACACAGGAGTTACGATGACAGCTGCTGGCACTGAGATGACAGGGCCACATATGCATGGGATGGCCCCACATCATTCCTGGGGCCTGGGGAGTTGGCGTCTCCCAGGTCAGAGCCTGTACCATGTCCTTTCAACCCAGAGGCGTCGGCCAAGGGAGTCCCCTGCAGCTGGCTGGCTCTGCCCACCCATGTCCTTCAAGTGTTGGCCTGAAGGTCCCTTCCACAGAGAGATGCTGGTGTCACCAAGATCCAACCGCCCATTCCCAGTACACCCCATACCCTCTTCAGAGTAGCCTCCACAGTTGCAGTCACCTTGTTTTGCAGGACTATGTTTTGATGTCACTCTCTGCTGCTTCTAGAACATGATCCCTGGTGGGGCACGGCTTGGAGACTTATTTACCCTGAATTCCCAGGGCCGAGCTCGGGCATGGCACCCAGTAGACGCTGGGTAAGTGTGCCCAGGTTTCCAAACAGACCCCTTCCCCCAGGCCAAGGGGATGTGTGGGAGCTGGGACCAGCAACCCGCCATCAGGCAGGTGACCTGAATGTCCTGGAATCCTCTCTGAGGTGACAGGGACATTGAACCTCTAGGCACAGTCTCACGCACACAGAGACTGAGTTCCCCCCCCCCATCCCCAATTTCTCGATGGAATATTTTTCCCCTCCCCGCGGCAGAAAATGAACCATTATTAAAACAACTCGGCGACCGGCCGGGAAAACCCATTTGCAGCGATTTATATCGTGTGGCCGCCGCTGCAGAGAGGAAATGGGAGGAGAGGCGCGGGGTGGAGGCGCGGGGTGAAAAATCACATTCCATCACGGGGAGAACAGATGGGATTTTTTCCCCTCCCCTTTCTCCCTCTTCTGGGGCTTGGAGTCAGGAATCATGTCAGCCGCGGATTTGCTGCAGGTGCTGCGACGGGGGCGATCCTGAGAGGGCGGCCCAGGGGAGCTGCAGGGCCCCGGGGTCCCCAGTGGCTTGGGAGACCACCCAGGGCCCCTCCTGCCCCTGCCGACCCGCTCTGCTCCCGGGGCCTGTGGGGACAGCCTGGTCCATCCCCATCCCCCAAGCTCAGTGTGTTAATTTTAATTTTTTTTGCAGCCCAGGGGATGGAACCCAGGGCCTCCTGCGTGCCAGCCAAGGACTGTCCCCAGAGCAGGGCCCCGAGCCCCACAGGCTCACGTCTTCCCATCGCCTGACCTGCCCTGTCTGCCCCTGGCCTCGCTCCCGGTCCCTCTCCTGGAGGGCAGGGCCACCTTCTGCCCTGCTCTGTTGCATCCCGGGGCACAGAACACACACGGCCTGCGCTCTCCCGCTCTCCCGTCTGCGACATTAGCTCACCCTCTGCCACCGGTCCCACCAGGACGCCCCGGGGTCAGACCCTGATGGCATTTTTGATGCCTCCACCCTCCCCACCAAGCGGGGAGCCGGCTGCAGGAAGGGGCCTGTTCCATTTGTTTCCTTCGCGGCTGGATCCCCGTCCCCACCCCCACCCCACCCCCAAAGCCCGATCCACTGCGGGCTTCTCGGATCGGGTGGGGGGTGGCGGAGACCAACAGGACTGAGTCATTCCGCTATTTAAAAGCCGTCAGAAGCTTCTCTCCTTCAGACCCCAGCAGACACCTCCGCACCTGCCCAGCCCCATGGGGGGTCCCCTTCCCACTCCTGAGTGTCCGCCTCTGTGGGCGCTGCGCCCCCCCCACCCCAGACACCCTGCGCCCCCCTCGGGGTCCACGGCTGGAGCCCAGGGCTTCGGCACCCAGAGCCGAATCAGTCCGCGGATGGGATCTGCTCCGCCCGTGAGAAGAAATTTTAATGAATCTCCAGCTTTTAAATATCAGGTGATTCTTGCATAAAAATCTGGATGCTTTAGCGCTCCATCAAAGGACGCAGCCCCAGGGGACAGCGAGAGGATGGCTAGCGGGTCCAGGGGGGCAGCTGGTTAAGAGGAATCACTTCTGTGGCTCTATAGCACAGTAGGGTGACTACGGCGGGCGACAATTAATTGTATATTTCAAAATAGGGAAGAGACAGGGTTTTGAATGTTCCCAACACAAAGGATAAATGTCTGAGGTGACAGATGCGCCAGTGACCCTGATGTGATCGTTTTACGTGGTATGTATGTATGGAAACGTCCCCTCATAGCCCATACATGTGCACAATTATCCTGCGTCCATTGAACTTTTTAAAATCTACTTGTTAAAAGACAAGATCCGCCCTCTGCCAAGCCAGCCGAGGGCCTGCTCCCTGCAGGGGCGTGCTCACCAGGGCGGCTCCGGAGCAGAGGGAGCTGGGTGGGCTGCTTCCCTGCAGAAAGGGGTTAAGGAGACCCTGGGCCTACATGCTTGCTTTGGAGTCATCCCACCTTCCTCTTCTGGAATCTTCCATCTGCCCATCTGGAGTGACTCTCTTCCCTTCTGTACCTAGCCTGCTGGCCAGCGAGGCTGGCCTGTGTCTGGACCCACCGGTGGGCTGTGGGTCCTCTGGGTCAGGCAGAGGGCCATTGATCATGTTGGGCACCTCCATCCACAGAGCCTGCCCTGCCCTCAGGTTCTGGTAATTTCTTCCTCCCTGGCCTCAAAACCTAGGGGTGGACGTGGGCAGTCACCTGCTTAGCCACCGCAATCCCCACCGCGCCCTACTGCCTCCCTGAGGCTGGAGTTGAACCACCACCGATGCTCGCAGTCTTCTTAATGCAGCAGCTACGTGGAGGATTTCAATCCCCTCCTGTCCCCTACAGGTTGTGACCTGCTGCAGGGCCCCTTTGTGATGTCACTTCTGCTGTAAGGAGGTTCCCGTCAGCCCCGAACCCCACAGCCCATGTGACGGTGCCCATGGGTAAGCCCCTGCTCTTCCTCATTCCTTTCCCTACCGTCAGTCCTTCAGCTTATCCCCCCATTCGGAGGCCAGATGTTGAAATTAGGGGTGAGCAGGCAGCGCCCCACCTCGGCTGCTCAGGGGAGAAGCCTTCCTGCCTGAAGGGAAGCTCCCGGTGGCCCCTGGGCTCGTGGTCCCCTGGCCCCAGACTCTGCCGCATCTTCACGTAGGTTTCTTCTCCCCCTTCGCCCCTTCTCCTCTAGGACGCTTGTCACTGGATTTGGGGGCCATCTTAATACAGAAGGAGTTCATTGCAAAAGTCCCACCTGCAAAAAGACCCTCTGTCCACATGAGGCTCCGGCATGCATGACCGCGTCCCTCCAAAGTCCACGTGTTGGACCTCGGTGGATGGGATGCTGCTCCAAGGAGGGACCCTTTGAAGGTGGTTGGACCTCGAGGTCTCCTTCCTCCTGAGAGGGATTGATGCCTTTAGAAAAGGGCCTGAGCAGGAACGATAGCTCCTCTGCACCCTTCTGTCTCTTCTGCCATGTGAGGACAGAAGGACGCAGAACAAAGCACCATCTTGGAGTCTGAGAGGGATTCCCCACCAGACTCCAAATCCGCTGGTGCCTTGACCTTGGACTTTCCAGCCTCCAGTAAGTTCATATGTATAAAATCATACGTATAAAATCTCCCCAGTTCTGGGGATTAAGCCCAGGAGCACTGTACCACTGAGCTACATTCCCCAGCTCTCTCTCTCACTCTCTCTCTCTCTCTCTCTTTTTTTTTTTGCTGAGTTGCTGAGGCTGGCCTCAAACTTGTGATCCTCCTGCCTCAGCCTCCCCAGTAGCTGCAATTACAGGTGAGTGCCCCGGGTGCCCAGTTCCCAGTTCAAATTCCTATTCTTCATAAATGACCCGGTTTGAGGCACTTTGTTACAGCAGTAGGGATGGATGCAGACCCTCACGGGTCTTGTTTTGTGGACATGGCCGCCATTCAGTCAACTCCAGGCCTCTCAGTGTCTCTCTCGGCTCTCTCAGTGTTTTGAGGCCAGAGGAGATTCAGAGCCGGCCGCCCGCACGGCCCCAGAAGCCTGCTGGATGGAGCTGAGCGGTTGTCATTTCTCTCCCACACGTCAGACTCCGAGTTCCTGTCAGCAGCTTGCCTCTGGCCTCTGACCTGCCCGCCCCACATCTCTGCAGGGCTGACAGGTGGGTTAAGAGGGAGCGCTCCCTGGAGCCAAGACACACTTTTTGCCTCCAAGCTGCCTCAGCCCTCCAAACATCAAGATCCAGAGGCCTGCCCCCGCCTTCCTCGGCCCCTCCGCCTTGCTCCCAGAGGACCGGCCTCAGCCTCCGGTCCTCTCCCTCCATTTCCAAATGGCCGCTGCTCCAGGGCCACGCGAGCCCAAGGTGGGTTTATTTGCCGCGTGTGGGTTAACGTTTTCCTGTTTTCTTTTGGAGGTAAAATCCACACAAGATGGACCCTACGTACAACCCTGAGCGGGGAGCTCAGGTGGTGAGGCCCCGGGTGCCATCCCCAAGTTAAAACGAAGTGCCACTCAGTGGGTTTTGTGTATTTAAGCATTGGGCACCTGTCACCTCGGATTCCAGAACATTCTCATCACCTCAAAAGCAGTCATTTCCTGTTTCCCTTCCCCCCAGGCCCTGGCAAACCGTGATCTGCTCTCTGGATCTCTGGATCTTCCTATCCTGAACAATTCATAGACAGGGAATCAGTTTTGAGACCTTTGGTGTCTGGTTTCTGTTACTGAGCGTCATGTCTTCAAGCGCCACCCATGGGGTGAGATGACTCTGTTATGGGGATGCGTGGAAAGCTTGAAAGGAAAGGCCTGATGTACGCCTGTAATCCCAGTGGCCCGGGAGGCTGAGGCAGGAGGATCACAAGTTCGAGGCCAGCCTCAGCAAAAGTGAGGCACTGAGCAGCTCAGTGAGACCCTGTCTCTAAATAAATACAAAACAGGGCTGGGATGTGGCTCAGTGGGCGAGTGCCCCTGAGTTCAATCCTTAGTATCAAAAAAAAAAAAAAAAAAAAGGTCTGTGGCCCTTGTCCCCACTCACCAGCTGCAAGATACGGACCAGAAAGCTGCTGTCCCCAAGAGTCCCTCTCCCAGTGCCTCTGATTCAGAGCAAGTATGCCTCCAACCCCAAGGGACATTTATCAAACTGGGATCTGGTGGGTAGTGATGATCATGTCCTATAATGCACAGGACATACCACCAAGAAACAACCATCGCAAACATCATTGGTGACGTGGTTAGGAAACCCTGTGCTCTGGGCTCTCTATAGATTACTTCTGTCTGCCCTGGAACATCACAAAAAGGTTCATACAGTGTCTTTTGTTTGTATCTTGCTTCTTTTGCTGAGATTCACTCACGCTGCATGTATCAATAGCCCTTCTTTTTCGCTGCTGCATTGTATTCCGTCTTATGAATACAGTATCCCAAGTTATTTTCCATTGGCCAGTTGATGACCACTTGAGCAGTGTCCAGTGTCTGGCAATCATGAACGAAGCTGCCATGAACATCAGTGTTTGTATCTTTTGAGGGACATAAGCTCCTGTTCCCATTGGGAATCAACCCAGGAATAGAATTCCCGAGTTGTAGCAATAAAACATTTGCAGATTCCTGGGTGAAGTTCACACTCAGAGAATTTTGCACGATGCTGTGGTGTGGATCTTCAATGTCCTCCAAAAGCTCAACACACTGTTACAGGTTCGATCCCCAGTTGGGTGCTATTGGGTGGTGGAGGAACCTTTATGATGTGGGACCTAGAGAGGGATTTTCGGCCACTGGGGGTATGCCCTCTGAAAGGCCTGTGGGACCCTCGTCTTTTCATCTCTTTTCTTTCTCTTTTCCACCACAAGGTGAGTGAGTCTGTTCCCATACGTGCTTCCTCCATGAGGCGCTGCCTCACCACCGGCCCAGAAGCAACAGGGCCAACTGATCTTGCACTGGAACCGTCTTTCTCTGTAAGTCTACTTAGCTCATGTATTTTGCCACAGTAACGTAAAACTTACCAACACACAGCCACCCTAATTTCCAGCTTCCCAGATCCCACATGGTAGCATCTGGAGTACGACTTCAGCCCTCACAGCTGCTGCCCTCCCCTGCCACCGGCCTCCCATGTGCCCCCCTGGTGTATTTTCATTCCACCGTCAACATTTGGTTCTTCAAGTCCTACAGGGCCCATGCAAGGCTGGGAATCACCTCTGCCTTCCCGTGGCCACAGACTCAACCTCATGGCACCCACTGACATCCCGCATGTCCCTTTCCAACCCCCTTCCCCACCTCTCTCCACCCTGCAGTGCTGACATCCACTTTGACCCCAAACTCAGAACCCTGTAGACTCTGCATTGCCTCAGGCCCCACCACTCCCTATTGCCCTATTGCAGTCTGGACCCTGATGGATTTTTTTTTCTTGACAACCTTCTCAGGACCTTTCAGTTCACGGTTCTCAATGCTTAGACCACGGGGGTCTTCTGTGGAGCCACAGCCTTCCACACCGCTCCCCAACACAGCCTTCCCGGGTCCCAAGCCAAAGAAGGCCTCCGTGCCCTCCCTCAGTCCCTGCCTGTCTGCCACCTGCCACACCTGCCTTGTCCAGGTGGGGCTGCGTGTGGGGCTGCGTGTGTCGCATTCACTGCTGATTTCCTCCAGTGAATCCCGGCTGTGACAAACGCACGCAGGAAGTTGGGTGTGGTGGCACACGCTGGTAATCCCAGGGACTCGGGAGGCTGAAGCAGGAGGATCACAAGTCAGCAAGGTTCTGTCCCAGAATAAAAACTAAAAAGGGCTGCAGATGTCGCTCAGGTGGAGGGCACTTGCCTGTCACCTGGGAGGCCTGGGTTCAGTCCCCACCCCCGCCACAACATACACACAGACACGGAGGAGAAAGTGAGCAAGTGTGGCCGCACCTTCTGCAGAAGCTACCTGGGCTTCTAGGATGACCTTGGCAGGCATCTGAGAAGTCACACCCACTCCTGCCCCCACCAACGACAGAAATGGCCTGAAGAAGTCCGAGCTCCTTCTCTGGGATTCTCTAACCCACAGATCAGTCCACCCCCAATCGCCCCCGCGCTGCCCAAGCACTGTCCAGTCTCCCCCTCGAGCAGTCAGGGCAGGTCCCCGGGCTCTCCCTGCCTCCTCACCTGCTCACCTGTCTTCTGGTCTCCCCACCTTTGCTCCATGCCCTGGGTGGCTTCCTCCCACCCCACCCGCACCTCTCTGCCCCTCACATCTCCTCCACCCCAAGCCCTGGTCACACCCCAGGCCCAGGTTCCTCAACTCGAGGCTGGCTCTCTCTGCTCCTGGCTCCCCCTGCACCCCTCCGGGCCTCGCACCTGTTGGGAAAGCGCTCCCCCTTCTCACCACCCACCTCCCAGGCATTTTCCACTCAGCCGACCCCACTTCGGACACGTTCAGTTCTCTCCCTTCACCCCCACTTCGCCCTCTCACACCCCAGCTCTGCCTTCTTCACCGACCTTCCTCCTGCGCACCTGGGGGGAGGGCGGGGCCTGCTCACCTGCGGCCGCAGAGCAGCGGAGCAGCGGCCTCTAGTGGCCGGGGAGGGAAGCGCCACCTAACTGGCTCCCGGGTGCCTAACCTGGACGCCCCGCCACTCACACCTGTCTGTGGCTCCGACCCGAACCAGGGCCACTCCTTCACCTTCTCCTGGCCGCTCACTGTGTGCCCGGGGTCGTTCTGGGGTTGAGCACAAGCAGTGAACAAGAAGCAAGCATCCTTGGCCTCAAGAAGCTGATATTCGGTGATGGGACAGATCAATAAAAGCTCGAGTGGGTGAGGAGATCGCGTGTCAGTTTCCCGTCCTTATAACACATACCCGAGGGCTGGGGACATAGCTCAGATGGTAGAGCGCTTGCCTTGCATGCACAAGGCCCTGGGTTCAATCCCCAGTGACACACACACACACACACACACACACACGACATAAATCAACTTATAAAGAGGCAAATGGTTTACTTTAGCCCACAGTTTTGGAGGTTTCAGCCCATGATTGGTTGACCCTACAGCGTGGTGTTGCAAATATGTCGGTAAATATGGTCTGTTCCAAGGTGGAAATACTATGGGGGGGAGGGAATGGATAAAAGGAGAGGACAGTTGTGGAGCAGGGAGGATGACATTTGCAGTTCTCAATGGAGGGGTCAGGAGCAGATACCTGGGCAGAGTCCAGGGGGTGCAAAGGCCAGGGGACACCATCCACTCTGCCTCTAAGATGTGCCCCAAACCCCACCTTCCACCCCAGCAGGCTGATCCAGGTCTCAGTCACCTGCCTCTCACTAGGTGACCATGGGGGCCCTTTCCTAATCTCCCTGCTTCCTCTCAAGTCACCCCTATATATTTTTTTTCTTGGTACAGGGATTGAACTCAGGGCACTCAATTACTGAGCCACGTTTCCAGCTCTTTTTTTTAATTATTTTTATTTAGAGACAGGGACTCACTGAGTTGCTTAGCACCTCACTGTTGTTGATGCTGGATTTGAACTGGTGATTCTCCTGCCTCAGCCTCCTGAGCTGCTGGGATTATGGCATGTGCCATACGGACACCGTGCCTGGTGTCCCCCTACACGTTTTTAAGCTGAGGTAAAATAAGCATAACATAGAATTAACCCCTACCCATTTCAGAGTGGACAATTCATGGTGTTGACTATACTCACGGTGTCTAGTTCCAAATCATTTTCATTTTTTTTCTTTCTTCCCCTGGCTACTGGGGATTGGCACCTAACACTGAGCTACACGCCCCACCTCCCCAGCCCTCTTTTAGTTTTTATTTTGAGACAGAGTCCTGTTAAATTGCTGAGGCTGGGCTTGAACTTGCGATCCTCCTGCCTCACTCCTGCTTGCCACCGTATTTGGCTTTGGACTTTTAAAATTGACCTCATTTTCTTTTTCCATTCATCCACTGATGGACATTGGGTTGTTTCCACCTTTTGGCAATTGAGAATACTGCTGCCACGGACATTCACATACAAGTATCGGCTAGTGCAACCGTTTTCTGTTCTTTAGATTCTATACCTAGAAGTGAAACCGATAGATCATACGGTAATTTTTGTGTTGCTCTTGTTGAAGAACTGTCCCTATAATCTTTTAAATACTTGAATAATATCATGATATCCTCCTGCTCAACACTCTCTCTAGGTTCTCAATGTCACTAAAAATACAATCTAGGCCTTTTCCATGAGCTTTGTGGCTGTGCTGTTTCAACCACAGGACTTTTGCACTTGCCATTCTCACATGGCAGTTTCCTTTCTGGCTTTCAGGTCCTGGCTCAAATGTCTCTTCCTCAGAGAGGCCCTCTGTGGCCCTCAGCCTAAAATCATGCTCACCCACTCCCTGCCTCGTGACTCCTCAGTATTTTCATGGCACAGATCAACCTTTGAATCTCTTTTCTTTCTTGAAATCGCTTCTAGCTGGGGGCTGAACCTTATCCTCTCTCATCAAGCACATGCCCTGGGAAGAGCCCTGTCCATTTTATTCAACCTCACACCCTGCTCAGGACTAGGGTGAGCCGAGTAAAGCAAAAAAACTCCACTATCAAGATAAATCATTCGTTTTCACAATATTTTAAAGAAATCAACATTCGTGCAGAAAAAAAAAAAACTATGACGATCAGGATATCAAAATCTTCAATTAAAAAACAAAAAATTGGCTTCAGTATTGTTTGTTGACTGTTCTCTCGCTCCGGCTCTGGTCGGTCATGGCATGGCCAGTGATTCCTGTCTCTTTTTGCCAAGGATCCATCTCAGGGCAAAGGTCCCACCTTCCACCTGGACGGCGGTTGGAATGAGCCCTGCTCCCACTCTGACCTCCCGTCCACGGCTAGGATTTCTTTATCTCTTCACGTATGTGGACCTGGATGAGGTGCAGGAATTGGCCACGGGGGCAGGTACAGGGAGCTTCCAGGGAGGCCAGAGGCTCATAAAACCCCTCTCACCAATCCCTCAAGGCTCGGACAGTCCCCCAGCACCCTGCCCCCTTCCCTGGGCTAATCCCACGTGGGTTCTGTGTTTATATCACCCGCTACAAGAGACGACCCTGAGAAGGCTCCCTGTCCTTTTGCCTTGTGCTAGGGCATCCTCCACGTCCCCCACGGTATTTGGCACCTAAGAACAGGTAAGGGGTGCTTTGTGTTTGAGGAATAACTGGAGGGAACTAATTCATGAATGGAAGGATGCAATGTCCACCCTGCACCCAGTGAACTCTAGGAAAAGCCGGGTTGGGGGCACCTCCTGGTGGGCAGGGCAGGCCTAGGCATTGCCATGACTCCCCGAGTCCAGAGGTGTACTTCAGCCCCACACCTGCTCTGCCCTCCAGTAAGTCGCAGGGCCCAGCCACAGATGCTCTTAGGACCTGAGAAACCTGGGGAAGAGGACAGGGTTCCAGGGTGCTAGGCCTGAGGCAAAGGGGTGCTGAGCCCTGGGGACAAGCAGGTCAGCCAGTATGCAAAGCACTGAAGGCACAGACCCCAGCAGAAGACCCAGGGAGCCATGAGGTTTGGCTATCCAGAGGGCTAAGAGTTCAGAATATGGGGGTCCCCAAAATGCAGGGGAAGGGGAACACTGAAGGCGTACAGTTCCTCTGGCACAGGGTGCACATAAGGTAGGATGCCCAGGCAAAGGGTTCACAGAACATGAGTGTACCCCAAATCAGTCCACTGGGACCAGATGTACAGAATATTAAGTGTCCTGGCCGTGGGGGGCTCAGCGTGGCGGTGCCAAGGCACAAGGTAGGCAGCGAGGAGCGCCCTGGGAGTAGGAGATCAGAAGTGCGGATACCCAACCAAGCAGTGCAGGGCACTGGGTGCCCGCGGGGGCTAGTCTGCGCGCGCGCGGACGCGTTGGTTCCTCGGGGCCCAGCGGCTGGCGCCACCTTCACTGCGACTGCGCAGCCAGAGGATCTGGTGGGTACCAGGGCTCTTTCGCGCCCCAAACCTTTCTTCATCTTTTGCCTCTTGAGCCCTCTGCCCACCAGTTCAGGCGGCGGCGTGGATGGGATGGAGGCTGGCGAGCCAATCCCGGCCACCACCAGGGGCGCTCGGCCGATCACCAGCATTGGGAGAAAAGAGGGGGTGGGGGGTGTTGGGGAGCGGTCCTGCTGGGATTTTTCCAAACTGAGCCCGGGGTCCCTTAAAGAACGCCACCGCTTCCCCTCATATAGATAAAGTCCACCTTTTCTCGAAGCCTCTCCGGAGCGCAAGTTAGAACCTCCTCTTACTCTCACTGTGCAGGCGGAGGTGGGTGGGCTGCTCCCGGGGCTGCTGGGGCTGGAGAGAGCAGGCTTGCAGCCAGGCGACTGCCCCGCTGGCCTCCGTGTTCCGCCTGCTTTCAGTTCTATTGGGTTTTGTTTGTTTGTTTTGTTTTCCGGGGCTGAGGATGGAATTCAGGGTCTCATGTAGGCTAGGCAAGCTCTACAACTGAGCTACACCCCAGCTCCAGTCCTGTTGGGTTTACAAAAAGCTGGCTACCTGGGTGTGTGGGAGCCTTGTCCTGGTTGTCCCCCTGGTTGTCCTCCCACTTTTCAGCATCTTGAAGCCCTCCATGGTTCTGTGGATATTTCAAAGTTGGAAACTGAGGCCCAGAGAGGTGGGATCCCCTCCCCATACCCAACCCATCCCTAGTCAACCACAAATGGATGAAATCATCTCTGCACTGAACAGCCTCTTCTGTGATACCCCTCTGGTCTCCCAGATCCATTCGTCAGGGCACGATTATTTACATTCAAGGTCCAACCTCTGCAGCCATGAAGTCCTTGGGCACCAAGGGGAAATCATAGTGACCCCCCAATGCATCTTATCCTGAAGTCTTGGGGTTAGATTTGGCTAAGGTTCTGGGCTATGGGAATCCCTGCCCAGTGGAGGAAGGAAGGCTATGGTAGAGATGGTCCCTGGTCACCCAGCCAGCCTCAAAGACTGGTGTCCCTGTCTCTCTTTCAGCCACCAGGACATGTTTCATGGAAAGGATTCTTGGAGACCTGGTTAACTGTCCCACAAACACTCCATGGAGGCTTTTAGATACTCATTGTTCCCATCCAAGTCTGACCCAAGTGTTCTGTATTGCTCACCCCAGCTCTTTCCCCACTTAACTTCGAACCTTTCCCTATTCGCCAGCCATCCTGCAGACACCCTGGTTAGCAGTACATTCTCTTTCCTGGACACAGAAAAGCTTCTTTACTCCTGCCCTATCTTCAGAAGTTCCTCTTCCTCTAAACTTCACATCAGGGTTTATCTGTCCTGCCCACTGGCCATCCCCTCCCCCAATGCTTCCAGTGTGTTAAGATTCAGCCAGACTTTTAACTTTGCAGGAGCTGCCAGCTTTAATACTTAGGCCTCATTTGGAGGGACTCCCTTCCCTGAGGATCCAAAGCCTGGGTTTTGTTCCTTCCCAGCCATCAGTCTTAGAGTGGCACCCATCTTTCATAAAAAGGAGCCAGCAGTCTGGCTTCCAGGTCCTGTCTCCGGAGATCCTAACCGGATCTTACCTCTCAGGACTTTCCCTCACCCTCTCCCCTCCAAGTCTCAGCCTCCCCCTACTCCCTGCACTGAGTTGCCCGTGCTGCCGAAGTGCCTATTTTTGGCCTGGGGCCCGGTTTTATAGCCCCCACTGTGGGTCTTGGCAGTCAAGCTCTGGCTCCGGGGATCCAAGCCAGGTCGACAGCCTTCCCACCCCGGAGAGGGGATAGGAGCCTCCCTCTGCAGCCTCAGTCCGAAATCTGTCCCCGCCCCACTCAGCCGATGCTTGGGAACCCGTGTTCCTTGCCCTACTTCTTTAAGTCCACTAGCTTTAGTGTAGT